TCATTAAGAAAGACTTTCCAGAAAAAAGAATAGACATGAAAATAATAAGATCTATTCAAGGAATAGTAAGTTTAGTGCAACTAAAAAGTGAGTCTGTAGAAAGAGAAAGAAATTTGGACTTTATGCTAAATAATAACTCTCTACAAGGACCGACAGTAAAAAGGAGATGAGGTGCACAAGAGGAGGCCCAATTCAAAGAGCGCGACAATGGTGACTAGGAGAAAAGACAGATTTAACAGAACTTTCTAATTATTACTAAAGGCCAAAATCAAAGGTGACTAATATTTTCAGCTTGAATGACTATGCCACTAATCAACAAGATAATCCAGAAGAGGAAACAGATCATTTGCAAGAGAGAAAAATCATTGAGAAAGGGTAAAAGAAGGTAGGGCGCAAAATTCTAGGTATATTATAATTTCTGATTCCAGTATGGACATACGAGTACATGTATAACTAACTAGGTTTTAAGAATGGAGACAGGAGATAAAGAATTGGAAGCTATCTTTATATAGGCAGTAACTTCATCCTTTCCTCGCTCCCTCCTGTTACAACACATCCAGGATCAAGATGAAAGCACATACTAAAAATAGGAGAAGGAAGCTAGAGAGAACCTGATCCCCCACCTTGGAGAAGCTATATCAACCCTACAATTGCCCACCTCTGAACTCCTTGTTTATTTTTCCTCACATAACATCCCTTTACTTGTTTAAGCTACTGCTGTCGTGATTTTTGTTACTGACAGTCAAATTCATTCCTACCCAATGCAGCCGTCAGCAGTTTTGTCTGCTCCTCTTCTTGTGTCACTCTCCATACTGTCCCCTGGGAGACCTCATCCATTTCCTCAGCTTGAAAAACCACCTACAATGTTTCCCCGAAAATAAGACCTACCCGGAAAAGAAGTCCTAGCATAATTTCGCAGGATGCTCATAATATAAGCCCTACTCCAAACATAAGCGCCAGTTAAGAACGTCAGCCAGACACGACTGTTTGAATAAATGTAGATTTTTGTACATGAATAAATGAATAAATGTAGATTGTTGGAGCAAAAATTAATATAAGACCCAGTCTTCTTTTCGGGGAAACACAGTATGTGCTGATGATTCCCAAATCTAGATCTTCATTTTACTCAATAAATGCTAAATAAATATGATAAAACAGGATTATTCAATACATTACATTTTTGCTATTACAGAAAGTGATAATAGTATAAAACAATATTCTAATCTTATGGAAAGCTAAGTAACACATAGAGTCAGCCCCTCATGCACACTGCAATAAAGCTGTAATCCAACGTATGTATGTAAGTTTCAGTGAACAAAGTAAGAGAAAAGGGGCATTCTGTCAGAAAAGTTAAAGAAAAAGAGAGACGTGGACTTACAGAAGACCAAAATCCAGACACATAGAACTAGATAAATTGTATATTTTTTCACAAATATTATATTAAGTAATTCATAATAAATCTTTTTTGTTTATTTTCATTGTGGTAAAATATATATTATATAAAATTTATCATTTTAACCATTTTTAAGTGTACAGTTCCATGGCATCGGGTACATTCGCATTGTTGTGCAAGCATCACCACCATCCATCTCCAGAACTTTTTCATCATTCCACTGTGAAACTCTATACCTATTAAACATTATTTCCCATTCACCTCTCCCCTCAGCCCCTGGCGACCACCATTCTGCTTTCTATCTCTATGAATCTGACTATTCTGTGAACCTGAAATTAAGTGGCATCACACAGTATTTGTCCTTTTGTGACTAACTTATTTCATTTAGCATAATGTCCCCAAGGTTCATCTATATTGTACTGTGTGTCAGAATTTCCTTCCTCTTTAAAACTGAATAATATTCCACTATATGCATACGAGTACACCACGTTTGTTTATCAATTTACCCATCAATGGATCCTAGGTTTGTTTCTACCTCTTGTCTCCTGGTAATAATGCTGCTATGAACATGGGTGTACAAATATCTGTTTGAGACCCCGCTTTCAATATTTTTCTGTATATGACCAGAAGTGGGGTTGCCGGACCAAACGGTAATTCTGTTTAATTTTTTGAGAACGGTTACACTGTTTGCCACAGCAGTTGCACCATTTTACATTCCCACCAACAGTACAGAGGAGCCCAATTTTTCCACACTTAATGCCAACAACCATTTACTGGTTTTTGGTTTATTCTTTGCTTTGTTTAGCTGATTAATAGTGATTCTAAGGGGTGGCATGTTTGGGGGGTTTTGATTTACATTTCCCTAATGATTAGTGATATTGAGGAGCTTTTCATGTGTTTACTGGTCATCCATCTATCTTCTTCATAAAAATGTCTACTCAAGTTGTTTGCCCGTTTTTTAATTGGATTGTTTGTATTTTTGCTGTTGAGTTTTAGGAGTTCTTCATGTATTCTGGATATTGATTAAATATACACATTTTTAAAGAAAACACTAACAAGCAAGTTGTTACTTAAATGAAACTTAAAATACCATAAAAGACGTTAAATTACTTTGAATGGCCCATTTATGATTAACAGCAGTCTGGAAATACAATCCTTTCAAATATCAACTCTAAAATAATTTTAAAATCATCAGTCTCTCCTCAAACAGTTAAACACTCTTATTTTTCTACAAAGCTTACATGGGTACTCAAAAATATTCTAAAAATTCATGATTAATCAAAAATACTAACAAGTAACCAGAATTCACATCATTCATATGAAATACTCAAAGATATTCACACTGGTTGTCAGAGTCTCTCTCAGAGTCACCACAACACATACCTTCAGCCAATATCATTCATATTTCAATCTATGTAAATGCTATGCCATGGAGCGCACTTTATCTATATCTATATCTATATATCTATATCTGTATCTATCTATAGTGATATAAACTACCCTGCAAATGGTGGCTCCTGGGGTTTACAACACTGCAGGCCTATAGCACTCAACTAGTAAAAGATATATGTCTAATTATTACTAGTACTATCTCTGCCATAATTTTTAAAGTTAAAAAAGGCAAAGAATAAAAATAATAAAAGTAAGTGCACCTTTGGTATTCAATGACTCCCTAAACTCTAAATTGACCAATTCATCCTTACCCAATTAAAGTATTCATTCCTATTTTCCCACATGATAGTTTTACTACTTAAGTAAATAAAGCTGTTGTCTCTATCTCCCCGGCACCCAATCTTCCTTCTTCTGATAATACCTCAATTTTCCACTAGGCAACCACCTCTCCCCATTCTCAGTCCCTGAGTTTCAGGTAGCTCCTGGGATGAGCACAACATCTAAATTTGGGCAGTCAAATTCATAGTGATTAAAGGAAAGGCATGGGACACAAAATAAATAGATTCAGTCCTAGTACTTTTGCTGGAAATTTTAGGAAAGAGATGCTTTTACAATTGCTAAGCTAGGCTACTGGTAACCACCTCTGCCACCTCATAAAAAGAACTAATCAGAGAATGAAGCTTATACACATACACAAAAACAGCAGAGCACAGAGACAAATCCAAGAATGGCCTGATGACAGCGTGTGAGGTCCTGGATATAGCAATGTCATATATATAGATAGGTCCTCTCCCTGAATTTCTACTATACCTGCCAATAAACTTTTTTTTTTCACTTAGCTTTCTAGGGCTTTCTGTTACTTGCTAGTCCTAATATGTATGGTTTGACATATAATTAGTTTTATCCCCCTAGCCTTTAAATTTCAGTTGTCAGATAATTTTGATAACTCCTGGAGGCCTGTCTATATCAGACATAAATATGCATTATAAGAAGCATATAGTAATAAAAACATTAATACAAAATGGCAACTTATTGTCCTCAGTAAGTTGCCATTTTGAGGCAACTTAAAATAAGTTGCCATTTTGAGGCAATAAGTTGCCATTTTGACATTTGGACAATATGCTCTTAGGAAAAAAGAATGAAAAATTGATAATGTATTAAGAAATGTAGAGCTCTACCAACTGGAAGGTAAACATGTACTTACAAAAAGACACATAAAAAATCCATTTTATTAACTCTGGGGAGATAAAAATATTCCTACCTAGTAAGAAACTGTACAGATAAAAATCATTACAGTTAGAAATGAACAGAAAAAGTAGAGCTGTGAGAAGTTTTAACATAAAGAAAATGCAACATACAACAGGAAATTCTCTCATTAGTTTTTTTCCAAAGGCACAAAATATCCACTCTCACTTAGATTCAGAGTTTATGTAAAAATTTACTTGTATTAGTTTCCTACAGCCACTGTAATTACTATACATTTGTGGCTTACAGCAACAAAAATGTATTTTCTCACAGTTCTGGATGCCAGAAATCTGAACTTGGTTTCACCAGGCAGAATCAAGGTACTGGCAGGTCCCACTCCCTCTGGAGGCTCTAAGGGAGAATCCAGAAGCTTCTTCCAGGTTCTCGTGGCTGCCAGCATTCCTTGGCTTATGGCCGTATCGCGCCTATCTCTGCCTTTGTAGTCACTCTGCACTCTCCTCGTCTTTGTATGTAAAATGTCCCTTTCTGCCTCTTTTATGAGGACATTTGTGATTATATTTAGGGGCCACCCAGATATTCCAGAATAATCACCCCTGTTCAAGATCCTTAACTTAATCATTCCTGAAAAGTTTATGCTCTAAGGTAACATTTATAGGTCCCAGGGATTATGAGTATATTTTACACGGCCATTTTTCAACAAACCAACAATGTCATAAGTCATTTCAATAACTATAATTTTGCTAAAGAGGCTAAGAATATGGAAACTATATGCATCTTATATTCTCAAATGAATTTTTTTTCCAAAATGTTCTCTACTTATATTAGTACCAACACAAATATTATAGCTCCAAAAATGTACTATTTAAAATAAAAATGGAACATTAAGACTCTAGTAAGAAAATCTCTAGGAAGTATAGTCTTAAGAAGTGACTAACTTTAGCTAAATTAAAAATATAATTCTTCGAAACCCAAGTTATTATCATGGCAATCCATTTCATTATGAATTTACCTCCAGATCCTAACTGCTTGTAGAATCTATATTCCAAATGCAGCTGTGGTGCTCTGGATTTCATGGGCTCCTAATTAAAAAACAAAGAACAATAACAAGTATTTAAGTTATTAAAAGATCACTAGGCCCCAACCCCAAATTTTATAAATCTTCGTGTCGACTCTTATATAATGTAATATTTTATTAGGAGGCATCTTTGCCTAAAGTTAGATCCATATAAAAATCAACTTTACTTTTTTCAATGTAAAATAAATTGATGTCATAAATGTACATATGATTAAGTGGTATTAGATCAGCATTAGGTAAATTTGTATGTTTGACTCTGACCCTGAAGAAAAGTATACTCCAAACATGACTAGAAGAATGGTGACTCTTACTCTATTTCTCCTGTTCCCAGGAATTTACCTCTGACCTGTATATTTCTTATGTAAAGGTCCTAGGATTAAGTGAAGTCATAGGAAAGTAAGAAAGAACAAATATGGAGACAAAAATTTTGACAGTAGCAACAATATATATATTTTTTTAATTTTTAGTTGCGATATATAACTTACAGTAACACAGTTCATAGCACTAGGTTAACTTTATATAACCCTGCAACCACCACCTCAAAAAAACCTTTAGAACATTTTAGCATCCTTCCCTCAGGGGTAATCACTTTTTTAAATCTATCACCTTTGGATTAGTTTTATTTATTGTTGGATTTCATATAAATGACATTATACAATATATGCTTTGTATGTATGTATCTGGCTTTTTTCATTCAGCATAATGTTTTTCAGTTTCATATACAGACACACATACACACAGACAACAGAAACAGAAGCAACATAGATTTTAGATAGAAGAAATAAATAATATATGTGTACAAATATCTGTATGAAACAGCAAACTATAAAAGAGTAACAGGAAATCTGAACAAGATCCAACAGGAAAATATAACAAGGTACCAAAATTTAAATAAAACCAACAGAACTTCAAGAAAATAAATAAATAAATAAATAAATAAATAAATAAATAAATAAAACCCTTTACAATAACCAATATTTAAAACTCAACCTGCCAGCAGAACAACACAACAGAAAAGAGAATTTAGACACTGGTAGATAGAAAAATGTCTATGGAATCAGAAAATTATATAGAATGCATCTATAGAAGTTATACAGACTGCATTATGAAGGAAGAGAAAAGGAAAATACAGAAAAAAGAGGTAAGAGATCTGGATAATATAGCAAGAAGGTCGAATATGCATTTGGTAAGTCTCAGGGGGAAAGAAGACAGAAAAGTGAGCAGAACCAATAACTAAAAAATAATTGCTATGAATAGTCTGATGAAAGATAACAAACCACAGATCCATGAGACTATGAAACCCAAACAGAATAACTAAAAAGTAATTTATAACAGCATATAACATAATGAAACTATGACCAATGACAAAAATTCAAATAAGAAACTAATAAAATCCCAGTGGAATAATTATAAATATTATTATAAAAGAAAATAATCGGCTCAGTTCTTGAGAGGCAGAATGGTAGAACAGTTAAAAGCACAGACACTGAAACAAACTGTACTCGGTTTGAGTCCTAAATCAACTATATTTACTACCTGTGTGACTTTGGCAAGTTGCTTAACCTTTCCGTACTTTTCAGTTCCCTCATTTATAAAAGAGGTATAAAACTTTATCTTTCTCATATATACATTTACATGTTATATAATACATATTAAACAATACATATAAATACATATATAATAATTAAGGGGATAATGATATGGCACAAAGATAAACTAAAAAGATATATATCTCCTTATATATAAATACATACACACATATGCATATGTATATGACTTGAAACAGTGCCTACCACATAGTGAGTGCTATATTAACTATAATTCTTCAGTTAACTATGTAAAAGTATCTAAACATAAATGTAATACAAGATGCCCACTTATGCAATCACTGATGAAATTAAATATATTATTTAATCACTAATATTCCCTAGGTAAAAACAGAAACCCAGATCTAACTTAGTTGAGTCAACTCAATTTGATTCCAGCACTTTACTAGCAGTAAAATTTTATTATGCCACTGTATAACAAAATTTACCTCACCACATCATGACATTTTCATTATTCACGAAATACAGGTTATTATATAGGTGCAAACAAGGTATGAGGGTGGTGGCAGAGGTCAAATTAACAAATTATCCTGAGACAAACTATCAATCTGAACTACAGTGATATTAAATATGTAAAAACCTTTATAAGAGATAGAGCTGAAAGTAGCCACTGAAATTTGCTCTCTGAACACGACTGTTATCAAATAATGCCTTTATTTGTACCAAAGTACAAAATTTAAAGCGAACATGACTCTATACCCTACTTCAACCTCATAATACTAGACACAGATGCAACCTCAAAATACTAGACACAGATGTAAAAATATTCCCAGTTCTTTAAAGAACACCGAATAACAATTATTATAAGTAGAGCTGATCACTGTGCTTTCAAAAGGTAAACAGAGGAAGAATGTCCAAAAAAAAAAAAAAAAATATATATATATATATATATATATATATATATATATATATATAATTAAGGGGACAGTGATATGACATGAAGATAAAGATATATGTATGTATACATAAGGCAGCTGGAAAATGACATAATAAATGTTTACCAAGGCATTAATGGTATCAACAAGGGTAAACAAGTTCCAAACCTAAAAATAGCAGGACCTAAGGGTCACCACTTAATGACTGAAACAGACTGTTTATTTGCTTTAACCTATCAGTTCAACATGCACATGCTCCCGTGAGTGGAGCTGCTCACTAGGGGCCGCTGCATCAGTAACACTCCATAGAGGTGCTGCCACACTTCCACTCTGTGCACCACCCCCACTCCCTACTGTGATCCCAAACTGACTCCCTTGTCCTGATTTCATGTTCATGAGGGAAGCTTGTAATTTTACCTTGCCTTTCTATATAGATCAGTCTATAGACAGGAAGCACATTACTTATACTAATTTGGGCATTCTGGACCTGGAATAGTAAAATACCTCATTACAAAGTAGAAATTGGCTCTTCCTAAATATTTCTGAGAGCTCGATTGATTGTGTGAATTGATTGATGACTGTGACTCTACCTCTGCCTAACAGTAATAACCTTAATGAGATGACCTAACCAGATTTTCTGTCATAAAGCTGAGGACCAGACCTTAAAATTAGAACTCCTTTAGGTCAACGCCCATCCAAGCCCGCACATCAGCCAGCCAGTCTTCTGGTGGCACCACAACCTTGCTGTGCATCTTATTATTTTCCCAGTGAAAGTAAACAGCTTTGTTGCGGTAGAACTTGGTCTACACTCACAAAGATAATTAAAATTAGGTAGTGCGGTTTCCTAGCTCATCCTAAAAGTTTTTCTATTTCTCCCACTTGCCGCTTCCTCTAATCATCTCTCTTTATATATGAATCTCACATTACAGTGGTTATATTGGCAGGGACAAGATTGAGAATGGCAGGCAGACTGGAAAAACCAAGCCATGCTTAACCTCAGGGAAACCTGGCTGGCAAAGCAGGTAGGAAAGTTGTGCCAGAAGAAAGTTATGCCTTATAAAAATTCACAGATGCCAACTGTTCCAAAAAGAGATGCCTTACAGCTGTCATACCAGGCACATTTAGGACTTGAAAACAGTCCCATGAGAGTTTGCTTTCCCTGTTATCCTCCACCCACATCAAGCATTTCTGAATCTCTGAAGGTCAAGCAATAGCCAGGTTTACCATATATAAAGAATCAGTAGAAAAACAGGTTTTGGAAGCTACCCGAAAATATATTTTCAAAGAATATAATTCTGAATACTAAGAACACTTTTGTCCAAATGCTTAAATCAGAAAGAGAAACTTTGCTCTATAATTTTTACCCAATTAAAAACGCCAATATGCCAGCTTCCTTAAATTAAAAATGCCAAAATTCAAAACTTCAATTCTATAATGCTGCCAAAGTAAAGGGATTGAGTTTTCATGACATAGAAAAACACAGACATCCTATACATTACCATATACTTGAGGGGCCTCATGATGCTAAGACTTAATACAAAAGATCAGTTATGCATATTACTTTCCGAATAAACATTCAAGTTATAAATGATATGAAAACAAAAAAGTAAATAAAATGTAAATTAATCATTAAAGAAATAACAAATTAAGGAAAAATAAAACATATGAACTTACCAGTTTAATTGCCACATATTCATTTGTGTATAAATTTTTCCCTTGAAAAAGAAAAAAAAAGTCAGATTCTATCAGTAATTGATTTTTAAGACATATTATGTAAAAACTGTACTCTGGGTAAAAAAAAGCACATAATACATTTAGATGAATCACAGGTTTTTGCTTGTAACTATTTAAAAAAACCTCAATGATGAGGAAATACTACATTTATGATCAAGTCAATGACTTAGTTAGCATTTCACCTGGATTGAGTAGAAAGTGATTCTAATACCTTAGTCCACTTACAAAAACAGAAAGATTCTTATTTTGTTGGAATATTGTACATAACTCATAAAGTAATCAATAGTCAAACATATGCTGAACTAAATTTTAAAACCAGAACTCCTATATAAAAACAGGAATATAAAATTCCTCTCCCTAGCACCACCTCATTTTCAATCCACTATTATGGGATGTAATCTTATGTGGGTTCATATGCAATCTAGTAAATAAACAAAATACATAGTAAAAAACCTGGACTATTATCACAAATGAAATAAAATTTAAAAAGTATTATTCAAAAATTGGCTCTGTAAACTAGCTAACTATTTTGAGGGGGAAAAAAGGGTTATTAGTACCTTACCTTATAACAAAAATAAATTCCAGATATTTTAAGAGTTAGATATAAGCCATAAAACAAGAAAAATATTTCTTTTATTATTTTTTAACTTATTTTTCAATTACAGTTGACGTACAATAGTATATTAGTTTGCTGTACAACACATTGATTAGGCATTTATATACCTTATGAAGTGATCGCCCCAGTCTAAGTCTAGTACCCATCTGACACCATCTATATTCCTTATGCTATAATTTACATGCCCATGACAATTTTTACAACTAGTAATTTGTACTTGTTAATCCCTTTCACCTTTTTTCATGCATCCCCTAAACCCCCTCACATCTAGCAACTATCAATTTGTCCCTGTATCTATGAGTTTGTTTCTGTTTTGCTTGTTCATTTATTTTGGTTTTTGGATGCCACATATAAGTGGAATCATATGGCATTTGTCTTTCTCTGTCTGATTTATTTCAGGCAGCATAATACCCTCTAGGTCCATCCATGTTGATCACGTGGCAAAATTTCCTTCTTTTTTGTGGCTGAGTAATATTCCATAATGTACATACACCACGTTTTCTTTATTCATTCATCTATCAATGGACACTTAGGTTGCTTCCATACCTTAGCTATTGTAAATAATGCTGCAATGAACACAGGGGTGCATATATCAAAGAAAAAATATTTATCAGCCCAAAATATGAAAGCCTTTCTCAGTATAAAAAAAATTAAAAAGTAAACTAGGTCAGATTTTATACAGATTTGATTGCATAAAATATTTTAAACATCTGTATTTTGAAAAACTTCTACCATATACAAAGAATAGGTAAATGACAAACCAGAGTAAAGATTTAATATCATTAGTATGTAAAGTGTTCAAATGAATTAATCTTTGCATTGGCAAACAGAAAATAAATCTAGGAAAATCCACAAGTAAAATATTATGGAGAATTCTGGAAAAAAATAGTATATAAAGACAATTTGATATATAAATTAATGTGTCTTTATAGGTATAATAAAAAGAATAATAATAGAACAGTATGTGATTTCTGAATTTCCAGTATTTTTTCAATAAGCATGTATTATTTTTACTAGAAAAATAGAATGATAGTTTTTTTTTTTCAACTATGATGCTAACTGGTCCTGGTCACCTTGACTACTGAACACAGAACAGGCAATCACCAACTTTCACAAATGTGATTTTCCAGCATACCACACCTAACTTCCTTTTGTAAAGCAGTTGATGAATGGCAGTAATTCTAGGCAAAATTTCAGTCTCAGACCTGTTGCCACCATTGTATAGGAGTGTTTGTTCATACAAACATTATAATGTTTTTCTGAATTTTGTCCTTATTTTATAAAAATGAATGAAAAAAGAAAATAAGCATTCATAAATGCTAAATATTGGGTTGTCAGAAAAGTCATGATGTATTTTGCCTATTTTTTCAAAGGTCATTTATTTATATAAAGAACAAATATCCATCAATGATATATTGCCCGTTTTGTTCGACAGCCTTTTGCCATCTTTCAGTGAGCTTCGTAATTCCTCATTCATAGAATAACCTGTCTTTATTTGCAAAAAACTGAACAAGGTGTTGTTTTACAGCTTCATCTGAATTGAACTTTTTTATCACACACAAGGAGTTTTGAAGAGAGCGAAACAAGTGGAAGTCTGATGGTGCAAGGTCAGGCGAGTATGGTGGGTGTGGCAACACATCCCATCCAAGCTCCAAAAATTTTGATGGGTGATCAAACTTGTGTGTGGTCTCGTGTTGCCGCGATGGAACACAATTCCTTTACAATTAACAAGCTCTGGACGTTTCTGGATGATGGATTCGTTCAAACTGTCTAACTGCCGACAGTACACATTTGAATTGATTGTTTGGTTCCTTGGTAGGAGCTCGAAAAACACAATACCTTTAAAATCCCACCACACTGAGACATAACCTTCCTCTGATGAATGTCTGCTTTCGATGTCGTTTGAGGCGAATCATCACATCGGGACGAAGACCATTTGTGCACCACATTGTTGTAAACAATTCACTTCTCATCACCAGTTATCAGTCGCTTCAAAAAAGGATCGTTTTCCTCACATTTAATGAGCATATTGCAGATGTTTATACGCGCCATCAAATGAACTTCTTTGAGTTCATGCGGGAACCCAAATATCGAGCTTGCTTACGTTTCCCAGCTTCTTCAGGTGGTCATGAACACTTGAATGATGGATATTCAATGTTTCTGCAACCTCTCATGTCATGTAACGTGGGTTTGACTCAAACAATGCCTTTATTTTGTCTCATCAACCTCGGTGGGCCTCCCTGACTGAGGAGCATCGTTGAGATCAAAATCACCAGCATGGAATTTCGTCAACAATCATTTGCTCTGACATTCTTGTAGAGCATTGTCACCATAAACTTTATGCAACTTTTCACAAGCTTGACGCGCATTCTTCCCTTTATGGAAGTAAAACAGTAAAATATGGCAAAAATGCAGTTTGGTCTTCCATCTTCAACTTGCTGTAAAATCTCCAAAACTCAACCAAATCACTCAATTTTTTTTAGAATGAAGCTAGAACTAACAGCTGTCAAATGACATAGCAATAACATAGATGCGAATGACTCTAGTACTTCCAAAAATAAACTAGTGCCATGTGTCGCAAACATGCATCATGACTTTTCCAACAACCCAATAGCATAGGTCTCATAAACCCATTATAGTTGGCATACAGATGAAACTCAATAAGAGTACCAAAAATGATTAATGTTAAGCTGTACTCAGGTACTCACTGAGCCCATAAATACAAAAAAGTTATTAGAAAACATGTTTTTAGTCAAGTAGCTTAGCATTTAGATGTGCCTTCATATACATTTTCAAGAATATATTACATATGAAATTTCAGACTTCCTCTAGTAAATGTACAGTGAATAATTCCAATGGTACAGTGAGTACTTAAATTAAGGAACTGATGTCTAACAAAGGAATAATTCTGTTTTGCGTACAAAGATGTAATTCGTACTGCCTCAAGACATTATCTTTTCATAACTATTTTGTATATGATAGTTCCTCACAAGTACACCAGGGGTAAATATTCATAGGACAAGAAGTTAGGTTAAATACAGATTCCATAGAATCCAAGTATACCAAATATTTCTAAAAGTACTGTTTTTGCTGGCATTTTACATGGTCAAACATCTACTTTCATATCACAACAGAAAGCACTAAATCCTAAAAGCATCATCTTTTTTTGAACGTTAGAGATTCTGCTGAACTTTGAGGGTTATGTTTACAAACATGAACAATGATGCAACAATACTACCAAAGCATTTTTGTCACCTAGCATAGGCACAGGCCTCTCACATAGTTGGCTTTTAATTAATACTTGTTATATGCATTAACAAACAAATGCACAAACTGTATGTACAGTATGAGTGAGTGAAAAGGAGCGTATGTATAGAGGGAAACAGTTAAGAAAAGGCACCAAATAGATTCAGGCTAACGGATGTTTTAACCCAATTTTAGAAGACATTTCCAAAATTTGGTGCCATATTACTCGAAAAGATGGTTTTACCCATTTTGTGGTATTTATATGGTAATTATTATAGGAAACTATGTTATATAAAAATATATATGTTTATAGCAGGGACTATTATTTACTCACCAATATCCATGCTCCCCCTTCTACAACAATAAAATGCCCACATTTTAAAATGGTTGTCCAGCTAGAGACTACATTTCCAGCCTCTCTTTCACCTTGCATAGCCATGTGATTAAGTTCTGGGTATGAGGTATGTCACTCCCCACTCCCAAGAATAAATGTGTGCTCTCCTGGCCCTTTTTCTTCTTGCTGGTGGCTGGGAGATGGCAGCAACTGGAACAGTGACCTTACACACAGAGATGAAGTCACATATTAAGGATGCAGAGGTACCCCAAAAGCCCTGGGTGCTCTCCCGCTGGTTTGTGTTATGTGAGAGAAAAACAAGCGATTTTGCTTAACACCACTGCATTCTGGATCACTCTGCCACAGCATCACAGCATCATAGTCTATTCCTTATTATTATACTTCTCAGAGAAGTGTTATTATAATATGTTTCAGTTAGGAACAGAAGTAGTACATTTAAAAATGATGAATCTACTCAAACTTGCATGTTTATTTGATATATAGTGTATGGCCTGCAGAATTTTCAACAACTCAAATATAAACAATAAGAATTATGAGCAATATAGGTATAAGAAGAAACAAAAATGAGAGAAGTTGTGGAAACTCCTGTGGTATATTTTATTATGTCAAGTTATGATATCTTATTTCAAATATGATGATTCATAAAGCAATATATAACACCCTTGTTCTGTGTCCTTTTCTAGAATGCTCAGTCAGGTGTAGCCACAACAGGGGACACAGAAGAGGATCAAGATTACAGTTTATTGTGCCCACATATCCTAAGAGGGGGTCACAGGGGAAGCATCACGTTTTGGTCAGGTGACAGTCGGGAGCAAGGGGAGAACTTAGGCCAAGGCCTTTATTGGAGTTTCTGCAGGAAAGGCATGGCAGGGCAGGAGAAACAGTTTAGGGTTGGCTAGTTTCAATAATTCTTGTCGTGAATAATTCTGGTGGCCTTTGTGCTATACAAATGGTCTCTGGTTGTTTGTATCTGGCCACGGAATGATTAAGGAAGAGGAAGACTGCCTCCTGGAGTAGACAAGCCAGATAGAGGAGGTATGGCTCTGGACTGTTGAGTATGCAGATCAAAGGCATGCTACCAACTGAGAAATGGGTAGCCCCAGGAGGGGCAATCTCTCCCCAGCCAGAAAGGTTTGGTAAGATGTCAAAACATCTTAAAACATACACAAAAAGTATAAAATATATACAGAATATATAAATCATATACAGAAAAAATTAAATATATATACAACACAACTCTATATTTTAGCTAGCTACATTTGGTCTCATTCAGTGCCTGTTAAAAATATTTCTCAGGTAAGTGTTATAATATGCTTTGACGTTCTAAGCTAGAAATACATCTATTAATATGCAGAACACAAGCCTTACCACCAATACATATAAAGATAAAATAAAACCAAAAATACATTAATTCATCATTGTACAATAAAAATATACATAAAATGATAGTAAAAACATTTACTTAAATTTAATTTTAGAGTATTATTCAAAATGTTTACCTATTTTTTTTAAATATCAAGGCCAATTTTTTCTGTCCAAGTTTATTTTTTAAAATAATTACCCATAAGAGTAGTTTTAACAGTGAGTAATACTGTCTCTCCTTGGGCATTTAAGGTTGTGTGTGGAGGTGCAACACCTATTTAGTGTCCCAGAGGTCTGAACTTCTAAACACCACGCAATGTGTGGAACAGTCCCCTACAAAAAAAGAACTGTCCAGCCCAAAATGCCAATAGAACCTTTGCTGAAAACCAGTTACCTATGACATGTATACCCTATATTCTATCTTACCCAAAATTAAGCACAAAACTTTTAGTGCCAGGAATCAAATATTCAAGATGTGTCTATTAATGTGGTCTTAAAGAAAGCACTTTAAGAATCTAAACCAGCTTTTACCATTAGCATGTTTACCCAGGTATAGAAAGAATTATGCTTATAATAACTTTTTCTGTACAGAGAAATCATTTGGGGCCTTAATAAAAAGGAATAAAATGCCCCTTTATTTAGTAGTTGATCAAGGCTCAACTGTATATTATCAATATACATAAAACACAGATACATATATTTAAATAAATGTATACAAATGTACAGTAAACAACCACAGTTAGATCCATAGACAGATTAGATATAGATAGATAGATAGATGATGGATGGAAGGAAGGAAGGAAGGAAGGAAGGAAGGAAGGAAGGAAGGAAGGAAGGAAAGAAGGAAGGACTAATAAATCATCTTATTCCTACTATTGCTTATTCATAGGCTACAAAAAAAAGGGGTATTTTACAGCTTTTTCAGCATATAGCATATATAGTTTCAGTATATAGTACATATCATTTTTCATACGGCCTTAGTCAGTCAAAATGATCCACTAGATATTTTTGTGTGTATGTATACACACACACATACACACACATACATACACACCTATATATATGTATATATGTAATTATTTTGAAATAAATTCTATAAAACCAATTTTGAATTAAAATGGCCAAAGTACTATAGCACTGTAGTCATATACGCAAAAAGAGATAGAGCAATAGACATAGTACAAATATATATGGCGTAATACATAGCTGTAGAGCTAATTTATATAAATAAATTTTAAAATATATACATAAAACATGCCATAGTTTTAAATTTTTTTTTAATATAGCCTGTTATCATCTTTTAAATGAGCAGAACAATCACTGTTTTTCCTAAAATCTGTGGGCATAGTGCTGGTCCTTTTATTATGTATTACCTAAATTTAATCTTTACCATAACCTAAAAAGTAGAAATAATCCCATTTTCAAGTTGAGGAATTTGAGGCCCCAAGTGGTTAAATGACTTAAGTGTTCCACAATGAATGGCAAGGGCAATGATCCCTCTATGTGATACGTTCTGAATGGATGGATGATGGTGGCTCAAAGTTGGACAAGTAAATAAACTGGTGTTTTCTAACTTCAAAATCAGAAACAGTTTAAAAATTTCAAAATATCGAATTCAATATCCTTCAAACAATAAAACGTCAAGATTAACCCCTTCAAATATTTGAGTCTCTACTAAAATGGAAGAGTGTGCCAATCACATCATCTTACGTCTATTACAAAATATGTCATTACCTTTTATTGGCTTGCTTCATTTAAAGATTTAATGTACATTAACTACACAAAGCATTAATAAAATGGAAGAGTAACTACAAATTAGGGAGTTTACAAGATGAAAAAGAGAAGTAGTTGAATAGAGAAACATATACTTGAATTTCTTTCTAACAAGCCAAGTTTTTTTTTTGTTTACTTCTGAAGTTTCCACTCTGGATGGTCCACTGACCAGAACCCTCAAAGTACGTCAGTACAGACTCCCATATCCCCATGCTGCCCTCCTTGTTTTTGTTCAATGAACAGTCACATTTCTAATGTACTAGGAGTTAACTACCTAGATTTGGGCCCCGAGTCTGTCATTAAATTGCTGTGTGACACTTGCAGGTAATTCCCTGAGTTTCAATTTCTCTAAATGTAGAGTTAGGAGGTTCAATTACAACAATGTTTCCAAACTTTGCCTGACTAAAGAATAAACTGAATCAGTAATTTGTGTCCCTCATTAAGAAAACAGATTCCTGAGCCCCACCCTGTATAACTTGGGGGGTGAGGTAGGGGATAAATTACAACAATGCAGATTTTACTGATTTTTATGCAGTTTCAGTATATTACCTTGACATTAAGCCATACATATCCTCACAAACTGATCAGTTACTAAATGTTTTCAAATCTGAAAAAGCAGCCTAAATATCTTTCCTAAAGAATACAATGCAAAGGCTTACCTGGCACCTATTACAGCTTGCTGGGACTTTAAATTTTACTTTCTTTTTTCTCATATTCTGGATGGCTAATCTCAAGTAAACAGATATTCTTATACTAAAGAATTCCTTACAAATGAATATACAAGTACATGAAAAATTTCCAACATCTATATTCTTTAAAATTATAATTATTAAACAGTAACTAAATTGTTTTCATTAGAAAGTACCTTTCATTTTAAAAAAATTCTTTCAACATAAAAGAATAAACAGAAGAGTCTTCTTACCTAATCGTAATTCTCCAAAATTGCCACATCCAATTTTTTTTCCAACTCTAAAGTTAGGTCCAACCATTAAAACCCCAGAGGATGAAGACCCAGTTCCTCGAGTGTTGTGTCCCGACCGACCACTAGGTCGTGCCATTCTATCATCTGATTTGTCCTTGTCTTTCTTTTTATTATCCATATCAAGTTTGCGGTACTCCACTTTGAATTCTTTAATCAAGACAAGCACACTGAAATTGGGTATTGTGAGAATAGGTACATCACTAGGTAACTGTACCAGCCGGGTAACGTTAACATTCAAATTGCAGTAGGTAGTCAATTAAATGGCGCGTGTTCATCCCATTCGTAAAATTTTCCTCAGTTGTCTTTTCAGCAAAACATGTCTTCAAAATTATCTTTTCAATGATGTGCGCTGATATTAATAGACAGCTAAAATATTAAGAAAAAAAAATTAGTCAACTTGAAAATTAAAAAATATATGTTTGTAAAGTTAAAAAGTTCAGGAAATGGATTATTGCTATTTGTTGATGCCCACTGAAAGTCAAACCACAGTAGACTCTTAAATTAACCATTAGCTTTTATTCCTATACTTTAATACAGAGAGATGACAAAAACAAAACAAAACAAAAATCGTGGGTTCAGTCAGTTCTTAAAAATAAAAAAGGAACAAAAATGTATTGAGTGTTTTGTAATCCAATATACATTTGCTAACCCGGAACTTCCAACTTAAAAAAACTTCAATTAAGAAAAAAAAACAACCTCAAAAATCTCAATAAGTCAATATAAGATTTTCAATTGAAAAGCAGATAGAATACTTTGCAAATTAGTAAAAGATCTTAATAAAAAAAATCTTCCACATTTTATACATTTAGTAATTTTCAAAGTCTTTTCAAATATACATTCTCATTTGATCTTCATTTATTCAAATTATTACGCACTAACTATATATGGGAATGAGCTCAGAACTGACAACACAAAGAACATTCTTGCTACACAGTCAAGGAAAACAATTCTTATGGAACATTTGAACTAGGCGTTAAACATTAAATGTAATTTCACAAGGTTAAGACCTGTTGCCAGGCATCACCTTATGAGGTGAAAAAGGCAGGTTTTAAATTTTCTAATACACAGATGAAAACACTAAAGCTCAAAATTTTTCAAGGCTTTTAGGAGTCTGTCCCATTCATCTTCTCTAGGAATTTCACCCATCAAATATAACTTAATTCTGTAGTAAATTCCCAAGCTAAATAATCCTATTTTTGTTTGAAAAATTTGAGTGGATTTCTATTCTTTGCGATTAAAGAGTTTTGACTTCAAAAGATAGAAACTAATAAAGAAACTAGGATCAACATCAAGGACTTCTTATTCCTATTTCTGAAACCCTTTGAGTGTATAATGCAATCATAACAAGGGTTGAAACAAATAGTATTTTCTGATTAATTTTCAGCAACCCCCCAAAATATTGCAATTAGTCTTAACATTCAATCTACTTACCAAGTTATTATATTTGTCATAGTCTCATTTTGCAGATGAAACAGTAAGCATCTATTTCATATATGTAGAACTGAATGAGTTTTACATATACTGTTTACTTTGTTTCTTGCCATGATAGAGTAACTGGGAACTGAACTTCCCTTCCGGCTGTAAATAACTATAAAACTATACAAAACATATGAAGTAGCTGTTTTCAGGCATCAGATAACAGGCAGGAAAGACTGTGACCTCTAAGAAAAGAGAAAGATGGGTCTCATCTTCACTCAAGCTCTTTAGCTTCTGGCAACTTGCTGACTACAGCACAGGAAGGTGAAGTTCAGGCAGTACACAGTGATCACAGATCAGAGTTTGGGGTTGTGGCAGTGAGTGGAATTTGCAAGACATGGTGCTGAAGGTGAGGCAGTTGTGCAGTGGTGGGGCTAGGTCGGAGATGGCAGGACACAAGGCTGGGCTACATGTCTCATCTCGAGGGTGATATTCTGAAATACCTGGCAGACAATGGCTACTAATAGGATTAAATGAAGAATGGAAACAATAAAGGCTGCACAGTGCTGGCTTAAAGTTCCTATCGAGTCATAGTGGAGGAAGCTCATTAAAGTTCCAGGAATTCAGTGGAGAGACCATAAAGACCAAGTCTTAAGAGTAAGGACCATAACCTATAGTAAGGACTACTCTAGACTGGCCCAACTAAAGCCTGAAAGCAAGCCTAGAAAGGATTAAGAATAGCTCCAATTAAATTAACTGCACTTCAGAACAAAACATACTTAAACAGACAAAAAACCCAGAATCTCTACAGTGTTGAATTCGTAATATCCAGTACTCAGTTAAAAATTACCAGACATGGGGCTGGCCGAGTGGCTCAGTTGGTGAAGAGCACAAGCTCTGAGCAACAGGGTCGCCATTTCGATTCTCACATGGACCACTGAGCTGCACCCAAGCTGAGCTGCCACTGAGCTGCCAACAGGTGGCAGGATGGCTCAGCTGCTGGGAGCATGTGCTCCTCACAACAAGGTTGCCGGTTTAACTCCCGCATGGGATGGTGGCTATGCCCACCCTCAACTAAGATTGAACACAGCACCTTGAGCTTAGAGGCTGCAAGCTGCCGACAGGCGGCCAGATGGTGACTGGACTTGGAGCTGAGCTAGCTGTGCCCTCCACAACTAAGACTGAAAACCAACTTGACCGTTCCCCTTCCCCAATACTCCAATAAAATCTTTAAAAAAAAAAATTACCAGACATGGAAATAAGCACTAAATGTACCTCGAGCGAGGAAACCAAGCTGTCAAAGGTAACAGATTCCACCATGACCCTGATACTGAAATTAGGAGACAGGATTTTAAAGCTATTAAATAGTTGCTAAAGTCATATTAAATTGAAGAAAGAGAATGGGACAGAAAAAATATTTGAAAAATGGTTGAAAATTTCCCAAATTCAGTAAAAAACATTAACCTACAAACTGAAGAAACTCTGCAATCCCATAAAGAATAAATACTAAGAAATCGAAACCTATATACATTGTGGTCAAAGTGCTAAAACCACCCAGAAAAGTAAAGAAATCTTGTAAGCAGAGAAAAACTGCACGGCATATACGGGAACTTCTAACTTCTTACCAAAATAACACCCAAAAGAAAATAGGAGGATATTTTCAAAGCAATGAAAGAAGTTAAGAAAACGTTCAGCCCAGAATTCTATACACAGTAAAGTTATTCTTTAAAAATGAAAATGAAAGCAAGTCATTTTCAGATGGAGGAAAACATAACCTGAACAAAAAATACTTTTTAAATAGTCCATTAGACTAAATCAACTTACACGATACAAGATAGAAATGTGAAACAAGAAATGAAGAGCACTGAAAATCGAAAATACTTGAGTATTCATGTCCTTAAAAGATAAATTATTGTTTAAAGCACAATAACTTCTTAGTATCATTTGTAACATGTGGAAGTAAAAATATATGACAACACAAATGGTGGAGTGGGGTAGTAAATGAAATTATAGTATTTTAAGATTTGTATTTGTGAAGAACAATGTGGTTCAATATTAATTCCAAGCAGCCAATGGCAAATTAAGAGTGATATTGTAATTCCTAGAACAAACACTAAAAATTAAATTAATTGCAGTAGTAATAAGCTAAAAAGCTAAGGCTTGAAATAAACATTTGATTCAAACAAAAGGAGCAAAGCAAGGCATATGAAAAAAAAGAAAATATTGGATTGTTGGAAAAGTCATCATGCATTTTTGCAACGAAAAATATACAAAAAATACATCATGACTTTTCCGACAATCCAATAAATAGCAAGATAGTAGAGTTAAAAACACAATGAAAATGAACCATATTCTCCCCATAAAAGGCAAAAATCGTCAGACTATATACTAAAACACAATCCAATTATATGCTATCTATAACAAATTTAAATACAAAGACACAAATAGATTAAAAGTAAAAACAGAAAAAGATATACTATGCAAACAGCAATATGAGAAACCTTGAGAGGCTATATCATCATCAAAGTAAATGTCAAAATAAGGAATATCTCCAAAGATATAGAGGTTCATTTAATAATGACAAAACTATAGGGCCAGCTGAGTGGCACGCTGGTTAAGAGTTGTCTTGGGAGCGCCAGCTCATAGCAACAGGGCCCCAGTTCGGATCCCACATGAGGGCCAGTGACACTGCCCTCTACAGCTAAGATGGTGAACAACAGCTCAACCTGGAGCTGGGCTGCCGTGAGTTGCCAGAGACAGGGTAGGCTGCAGTGGGGCTGCAGTGGGCTGCCGTGAGCTACCATGAGTGGCTGGCAGCCAGTGTGAGCAGCCAGAAGCCGTTGTGAGCTGCCAAGAGCCACCATGAGCAGCCATCCAGAGGCCAGCGACCAATCTGCCTCACCCAGGAGAGCACAATGATAATACCAACATGGGCCAGTGAAGCGATGTCCTCCACAACTAGTCTGAAGAACAAAAGGACGGCAACTTGCCTGTTGCCCTTCCCCGATTCCCTAACGCTGTTCCCCTCCCCCAATTCCCCAATAAAATCTTTTTTTAAAAAAAAAGAATACTTGACAATTTACTTTATGAGGGTAGAACAACCCTGATACAAAAGCATGGTAAAACAGCTGAAGCAAAGAAAATTAGACCAGTATTTCTCATGAGCACAGATACAAAAATTCTTCACAAAATATAAGCAAATATGTAAAAAGCTTAATAATCAAAGAGGATTTTATACTAGAAATGTAAATTTTAATATTTGAAATAAAGTCACCATGTTAACCAAAAGAAATACATCTCAACAGACATGAAAATTCATTTGACAAAACCCAACCCATTAACTATTAAAAATCCCTCAATAATCCAGGAAGAGAATGGAACTTCTTCAATCCAATAAAAGGAATCCACAAAAAGCAAACAAAACAAAATAAAAAAAAAACCACCCTACAGCTAATATCATACTAAATGGTAAAATATTGAAATTTTCTCCACCAACATTGGGAAGAAACACAAAATGTTTACTCTCCAATCTTCTATTCAACATTATACAAAAGAACTAGCCTATATAATAATGCAACAACAACAAAAAAGATACCAATGGCATAGAAATTGAAGAGAAAAATGCAAAAGTACTGTTATTCATAGACATCATGATTGTGTGTACAGAAAACCCAAAGAGGTGATGTCATCAAGATAGCAACAAAGGTTGTTCCCAATTTCAATCCCCCTCACAAAAAACCAACCATCAACTGTCTACAAACAAGGCACCATTAGAAAAAAAATCCCAGAAAACGGGTGAGGCCAAAGCACTGCTCTGGACCACAGAGACCAAGAAGAACCTCAGTATGAGGATAAGAGGAGTGACTACACTCTGACTGTATCATCATTCCCCCAGGCCTGCACAGCACCACATCTACAGGGCTGCCCTGGGCCTGTGGTTTTGCCAGTGG